GTTCTTGGTTGTGCGTGTGTTTTAAATTTCTTTATGTGGATATCAGTTTGCGAGGTGCTCAAGTTTCGTTTGTTTGAATATACGGAAAGCAGTGTTCTGAAAATGTTGAATCTTTCTTTACGGTTTCACTAAGTGTGTGTGATGTATTTAGTGTTAACTGCAATGCAACATATGATTTTTACGACGTCTTCAACTTTTGGTTTGCTACTACAAATATACATCCTACTTTTTATAGTGACAATCACTTTAAATGTAGAGCCCTTAAAATTATGACGAGCTGTCTTAATTCAAAAAATATTAGTAAAAAAGAGATTGAATTGGGTCTGACAGTATGTAAGTTAGTTTAACACAGAAAAATAGCAACGTTGTAACTAAGAAAGGTACAAAATTCAGTAACCAAAACGAGCTGCAATAAATTTTTTAGGTGGGTGGCGTCAAAGAGTATTGGGATTCATCATATAAACAAGCAATTTCCATCCGGTAATTTCCGAAGGAAGAGAGGGCCAGTGTAAGTTTTTCGAACTTTGGTCATTTATTTATTGTTTGCTTATTCATAAATCTATAGAGTTGTGCTGTTACTTTGGCCAGACTCATTGTTTATAATTCTTTTTAACTCATGACATAATTGTATTCAATATGGGTTTGACTTAATTTCATTTGAATTATTGTTCGTACTCGAAGAAAAAAACATATTTTGTCATGTATTTTTTAGTGTTGCTCTATACTAATGATATTAGCCCATCACCTCATAATGTTGATGTTAACTCATAACACATGATATGTATATATAATTGATAGTGTTTTGAGTAATTTTCTCTATATATAGTGTGTTCTTGGGCACATATTTTGTGGGTTCTTCTTCCAACTTCAAGTTCAAGTGAAATTGATACCATAAATTGATACTATAAATTGTCATTTGTACTTAATATATGAGACTAATGTCAGAGATCCCATTTTATCTCTCTATTAAACAAAATCGTACAAATTTCATAAACCAGCTAAAGGCTATTTACCAAAGGAGATGCATAACACAAAGGTACAAAATACAATACCATTAACCTATATAGAAATAGTTATATAAGCACTAACATGTCCTTCGAACAATACATTACGCTTCCGCATTGAAAATTATTAATTCATTTCGAGCAAGTTTTTCAACTTTCTTTTGGACAGGTAACACTCCACTACACAATTTACGGATCTGGACAAATCTGAAAACATGGATTCAAAAAAGACATAATTAATCGCTACATATTTCATGGAGAATGTACAAATAAAATAAACCACATCCATCATAATGTCTTGTAGACAATGAAGTCGTCTTAGCCATATCAATCAGTAACTTTGACAACAATTCAGCTCCAACGTGGTAAAACCCATGTCTAACATCCTATCTGCCTTATGAATCACTCATCTAAATCAGACTAGAATTTGTAAACAAACAAAAAAATATGTGGCATTTTGGTTGCTCCATAAAATGTGGGTAAGTGTGTTTTAAAAATTTTACAAATACTAGATATAATTATAGACTGGACTAGGGCCGGCTGTGCGCGCACAGCCGGGTCCAATCTAGTGTTACTTATATATAATGTTTGGTTGAACCGCTTGAATATGAGAGGTTATGGTTAAGTTGTTTTAAATGGTGTTTGGTTGAACATTAAAGCATATGGCTATGATGCTAATGCTAGGACAGAACATGCAATATTTATTGATCAATATGTATTTAATTGTTTATCATTCATAGGTGATTATTAATTATTCATTTTTCATTATGAACTTTACACAATGTGGTCCACGGGAGGCCAACGAAAAAACAAGCAAAAATAATTAACAAAGAACCCAAACCACAAATTACTTTAATAATCAGGCATGGTAAAGCAAAAAAATAACTCTTTTTGTGATTACTGTGAGATATTATTGACCATGATATTATGGTCAAATTTGTTGAAAAATTATATAAAATTTGTGTGGAATGTATGATATTATTACAAATTCACATGTTATTATGCTTAATTTCTTCCTATATTGACATGCATAATATATGTAAATAGCTACAGCCACCCAAATATGAGCTGCAACACAAAAACTATGTAATGAGGCCTTTATGGTCCAATATTATTTTTTAACAAGCAGTGTACAAATTGACAATGGATTTCAATACTCATTACATGTGATGGCAAATTTTCACTATATTCTTAGACTAAATTTTGCGGGGGTTGCAAAAGCAAAAACATTGTCAAGCTCTCTTTCTCTGCCAAATGGTAAGCAATTTAGGTAAAAGAAATTTCGATTATCGAGATGGCCGTTGTTATCACTGAATTTTATGTTTCCATAAATACATATTACAGTTAAATGAGGTGCTATACTTAAAACATCCGTGTGGTTCATATTTTGTAGAGTGAAAAAGAGGGTGCTATTGTAAAGATTGTAAATTACTTTATTATCTAGAAAACAGATCGGTGAATTGTAACGTGTGTTTTAGGATGTGCGTGTTTAGTGTTTAATAAATGACGCATAACACTTGTTAAAAAAACAACGTTTAAATGAGTTTCCTTAACTCTTAAGATAAAGTAAGAGACAACCGTATTCTTATACCGTTTCTTCAATCCTCTCTGCATACAAATTACACCGAATCTTTTAATTTTTTTTTTTTATTGAAAGATATTGTTTTTGAATTTTTTAAATGCAAATTGTTAATTAGTTTTGTGTTGAAGAGAATATTCAGTTCAATGTCATCCTTCTCAATTGAAAATAGCCACAGGAGGAGCACACTTGACAATTGTGAGATGGATAAAAAAATCATGAGTATTATGTTTATGAATCAATAGATAAAATCGTAAGCATATAGCTTTGACCACGATTTCAATTTAGGGATGCATGCACATATATTGACTTTCAGAAAAACATTTCCATAAAAATGAAAAAAACACAATATTTGTGAACAACTGTAACCTACGAAGCAGAAACAACTTATGACAAATTTTTACAGTAGTTTTACACGGGGTGTTAGATCGTCGTGCGTGCACGGCGTGAGAAAATCTAATAGATATAGATATAGATGTGTTTTATATATATATATAAAATAAATAAAAAATAAAAAACAACATCAACAACAACAATCGTATTTCTTGCAAATCATCCAAAAATGAAGATATACCGTATCCCATTATTCTTCTCTCCCGTGATTTCTATTTTGACTAATTTGGGGGCAGTCAACACATTAGTGTTCTTCTGCCTCAGTTTTTGTCTCCCACAAATAAAGTCACGTAATTTTTCACGATAATTTCAGGAAAAGCCAAAAATGTCCGATCACATATGTGAGGAAATCATAATCAACGTTCTCCGAAGGCTGCCCATAAAATTCCTTCTCCGGTGCACCGCCGTCTGCAAATCATGGTATTCTCTCATCACCGCCCCTCAATTTATTTCATCTCACCTGCATTTCGCCGTCTCCGGCGGAAATAAACCCCCTTTTCTTTTCATCAGGCGGTGCCTTGAAAATTCCGAGCGCTATGATTTCGTCTTGGATAATAATGACTCTGTCACCCCACATTCTTGTTTGGAATTCCCATTTACGAGCATAAACCCATTTTTCACAATCGTCGGTGCCTGCAATGGACTGATCTGCCTCTCTGACGATCGCGTGTACTACACGCCGACCATCATTCTCTGGAACCCTCTTCTTAGAAAGTCGGTTCTTCTTCCCAAACCCGACCCGATCCACTCTTGTTGCGGAACTTTTTCACAATCCCTTGGCTTCGGGTTCGATCCTGTCTCCACTGATTACAAGGTGATCAGAATAGCGTATGCCGATCACATTAGTGTAAGGCGACCCCTCGTGGAGCTTTACGAGCTAAGCAACCACGAGTGGCGGGATTTGAGCTACCTAGCGCTCGATCATGTTATATATAGTAAATCACGCTCGGCGTATGTCAATGGGGCCACGCACTGGGTAGCCCGTCATGGGGACTCCTATGATTTGGTTTTGTCTTTTCATATGAGTAATGAGGTTTTTAGAGATATATTGTTGCCCTGTAGTCTTACAGATGATGATCTTGTTGGGGGTAAGGATTTGCTGGTCTTAAATGATTCGCTTGCTTTAATTTTGTCGAGCGTGTCCGGCGGGGAGCCGAGCTTTTGCGTTTGGGTTATGAAAGAGTACGGTGTTCGAGAGTCTTGGAGTAAACACTTGAGCTTCGATTTACGCAGTTTGGGAGAAAGATTGGTGAGGCCGTTGTGGGTCAGGAAAGGAGGTGGGATTTTGGCAGTTTCGGAGGCCGGTCGTTTAATTTGTTTTAATCATGATGGAGGAAAAGAGAAAGATGAAGAAATTATTAAGGATATTGGAGTTGGTGGCTCGAGGCCCGAATATTATAGGCGCTCGATTCATGTCGATAGTTATACTGAAAGTTTGGTTCTGTTGGAGAAGGGTATTTATTCTTCCTATGCGCTCACTACTGCCAAGTTATCGACTCTATTGCGTTCTTAAGCTGTAAGGATTTGATATATCAAGAATGTGGAGAGGTAAAGATTTGTTCCTCATTCTTCTATATATTGGTTTCTTTGTATCTGTTGGCTTCATTAAAATTAAACCTGAAAGTAGACACTTGTTTACTTGAGGCTTGAGATTACCGTCAGAAAATAATTCATGACTTGTGTGAATTCTTTTTAACTTTACCTTTCTTAGGGTTGACAGGAGATTGATTGGGGGACGAGATCTTGAATGGTTATGGGACCTTTCTTGGTGTTGTTGAATATGATGTATTGGGCCATTGGCTATGGTCTACAACCTTTTATTCAATATGGTAGTACAAAGTCATAAATAGTAGTAGTTGTGTGCATTATTGGTTATGATAACTACCTTATAGTTGTTGCCTTTGATCAACAACTTCTGTTCAATATGCTTGTACTCTACAGATAAAAAGGCATACAAGCGTAGTTGTGTACTTTATTACTCTTATTGAACATGGAAGCTGAGGATTTCGAGGGTCTCTTTGTATGGTGTAGTCCATGTCCGTGTTGCAATCTATCATATGATAGATGTTAATGTTAGCCTGAGATCTTTGCGAAGGGATGATGATGAATAACAATGCTTTGCGTTGATGGAAGATTACAAGAATCTGTTTTAAGAGGTTATTGTGTGCACAAACCTCTTCAATATCACGTCGAATGTGGTGATAAAGCCCGTGTAAACGTCTAGGCTGCGCTTTGTTCGATAACCGAACTGAACTACGACTTAACGACCCGAACCGAAATATTTGTATTCTAAAATATTGCTACCGAAATCGACCCTATATGCATTCGGTTACCAAATATTCGATAACTGAAGGTTTTTAAACAAGTATTCAATTATCGAAGAATCAGTTCAGTTAACAGGTTTTTTTTTTTCAAATTCTTGCCAAATTAAAAAAAGATATATAGAAAACAATGAAGGTGGTATATGGTATTGTTGGTAAGTTTCACTTTTACACACATTTTCACCATCGTCACTCACATTCTGCATAGACAACAATCAAATTCAATTGGTTCTGGTTATAGTTTTGCTCCTATGGTTATGGAAATGAACTCAAAGTTTTGAAAGTTTTGGTTGTTGATCTTGTGGTTTTGATAATTAGTTTGTTCTCATCACTAGTTTGTATATGTTGTTGAACATCAGTTTGTTTTGTGCATAAAGAATTTGGAATTTTTGTTAAGGAATGTATTAGTTAGTTCAGGTTTGTTTTTTCAGTAAATGGCTATAAACATCAACATTTTTATAAACAATAAACATGAACATTGAACAAAATTGAATTGGTTGTGAACTACCAATAAGATCAACAAAACCAATAAGATTAATAAGACCAAAATTAACACATAACTTCACATTGAACATATACCTTACAACATAGGTACAAAAATATGGCACACTCATTGTAACACCCCGCTATGACATAAATATCAGAGTTAAATTTTCGCAAAACCTTTTATTTAAAATTATTGATTAGTTTGCGAAATCATGTTTCAGAGTGCTACCATAATCCGTTACTGTGCTTTGAAATCCGTTACTATGACATAAATATCAGAGTTAAATTTTCACAAAACCTTTTATTAAATATTACTGATTAATTTGCAAAATCATGTTTCGGAGTGCTACCATAATTTGTTACTGTGCTTTGAAATCCGTTATAGTTTTTAAAGAAAACAGTTTATAATATAAACAATCCTGTTGATATGCGAAATTTGATCAACATGGGGTATTTGGAAAATTGTTTGTATATACAGAATATGTTGAATTTCTTGAATTTGTATGTGATTTTTGTGTAAATCAGTAAAGAGATTGAAGAAGAGAAGCTCAATAGCTGTAAATGTTTTTTTTTTCATCTGAGAAAAAATGAGTATCAGAAAGAGAAAAGTAATAATAGTCCCTCAGACTTATCTGTCTGACGTCCATCATTGGGGTATATATATATGTTTTTTGGTGGGCCCGTTATGATTACAAGCGATGTTATTTTTGGACCCTAAAATACATATCCACGTGTAATAATAATAGGCGAGGCCAAAATTGGGTATTAACAAATCCGACTAGTAATCGGATCAAAAGGCTAAGTTTGACAAACAGTAAAAGTCAGCGGAAATCGTAGCGTGGCAAAACATTTAACTCCACTACGGGAGATAGTAACAGCACTGCTATGCCAAAGTCAAACATGTAAACAAAATCTTGAACCGTCCGTCAGCTCACTTCTCCGGTCTGACTCTGTGACCTGAAAAACATAGATAAACATGGGGCGTGAGCACTAAAGTCCATTGTTCTCCGTAGGAACTCATACTAAAGTAAACAGTGAAAATAATTGCAATATCATGATCCTGGTATATACATAAACACAACATGATATCGGTAACCATTGTCATCACATGATCGTTGCCTCATAACCGTTACCTCATTTGCCAGCATGAAAATGCCGGACACCATGTGCACACTCTAGTGGGCAGACTAGGCCACTAGAACCCAGAATGGACAGGCGACCATTCCAAGCGGATACATAACATGATACATACTTCAAATATGGTACCGTAATTATAATCAATGTAATACCCAGTCTGAGTCCCCACCTGAACCGTCGATATGAAAAGGGTAGTGCTGATAACAGTAGCCTGATCAAACTGTGACATAATATAAATAAATACTAAGTACTATGCTCAGACTGATTAAAATAGCTGTTTAATATGTTGAGATGCTCGACTTGAACTTGACATGACTTCTAGACTTAACCGGTATAACCGGAACCGGTTTAAAATGGAACTGGACCAACATGAATTTACTGAACTTGACCGGACCCAGAATTTAACTGAAAATTGGACATAAACATGAACCGGGACATTAAACATTAAACCATAAAGTATTCCGATCTGAACCGGCCAGTCTGAGGTCTGGCCGGACCGACGGCCCGCTTTGGCCGGGCAGTCGGCCGCTGGCTTGGCCCACCGGCTCGGTCCCATGCTGGGCTTGCTGGAGCCTAGGCAGTCGGCCGCTGGCTGTCGGGCCTTGCTGGGCATGACTTGGGCACGGGCATGGTCGCTCGCGCGCGCTGGCATGCCACTGGGCACAACCGGCGCTAACCTGGCCCGACTGGACATGACCTGGGATGTTGGCGTGCGACTGGCGCATCGAGGACATGACACTGGGCACAACTGACAGTCACTAGGCGCATGACATGAGGACTGGCGCTGCCGGGCGCTATGGGCACCGGCACTTGCGCGACTGGCGCTGCTGGGCGCTACCGAGTGCCGCAACAGGCGACTGGCATGAATGCTGAGTGCGTGGCTAGCGTGACGGGTGCCCAACAGGCGCTGCCGAGCGACCCTGATGGCACATGGCGCTCGGGCGTGCTGTCGGGCACTTGCCGAGGCCGACTGACATGTTGTTGGGCGCACTGGCGTGCGCGGGGACGTGTCGGCGTGCGCTATGCACTGCCCGCCCTGCCTGACTACCGATGTGTTGTGCTCGTTGCGTGCGAGCATGGCAACTACGACCGATCCTTACCGGCCGTCCGGCGACTTCTTCCGACAATCATAACTTGAATCAACATGACTTAACATAACATGAATAATCACACGTAAATCGATCGAATGACCATGAACATAACTTGATGAGACGTAAATGGCCGCGGTCTGCGCTATAAGCGTAGCCTACGGCTTTGGCCAATCCTTCGACCAATCGATAACTTATCTCGACAATCATTACATAACTGAACATGGAATGACATATAATGACCGAATAACCATGAATTGCTCGAGATTTTCTGAATAAAAACGGACATGACTCGGCATGGTTTAATTGGTACAATCGAAGAAAAACATAGCATATTCATGAACTTAACTTCATGATTTGAACCTAACATGATTATATTAACATTGAAATAGAGTCAAGAAGAGATTACCTCTTCGACTGCCCGATTAATTGTTCAAAATTTCCAAGCTTCCTCGGCTTTAGCTCGTCCGTGCGTACGTGCGTTTTCCTTGGCTTCCTTGACTTATAATTTCTAAAACTCCCTTAACACTTATTAAGTATATGTTCTAAGTATAGGATGAAAATTTTACCCAACTCTTACGCATAAATAGGGTAAAAGATGGTGAGAATGAGAGGGGAAATTATGACCAATTATCTCCCACCACTTGCCGTGCAAAGGAGAGTTTTTGTGGCTTTATTTCTTAGTAATTTCTAGGTGGCAATTGAAGACATAGATTAGTCATCACCTAAAGCTTAATTGAATGCCACATACACTAGCAAACAATGGGTGATTTACACGTGTACTTGCTCCAATATCCCACGGCAATCTGGACGAAATAATATTCTTTAAGCATGATTAGAACATGATTAAGCTCAACCTAGGTCTTAGCATATGATGGAACATAAATTAACTTAAAAATTATTCCGAGCATAGACGTGGAGATTACGAAATTAAATACGTAATTTACATTAATAACCTATCGGGCTATTACACCCATAGTGTTCATTCAACAAACAAAACAAAGTGGTCATTGAAATAAGATAATCAGTACAATGATGAAACATACACAACTAATCCATGACTGAAAGAAAAAAAAAATCTTTCACACGACAAAAAAAAAAAAATGATGAACAGAAACCATGTTGCACCAACAAACACTTCGAGCTTCCATATTTTTGTCGAATTTTTCAAAATTCTTCAACATAAATGTCTTGCACTTTCTGAAATTGGAGTGCAACACTGTCCTTCATTTTTTTGTTCTCGGCTTCAAACAATAACATCTTGTTCCTGAGCTCAATCAATTTCATTGGCCAGAATCTGATTGTTCGAGCTATCTGCTTCATCCTCCCATTTAAAAAACTTACAAACCCATCTTGCCAATTCTTGCAACCGTGAAATTTCTTTCCAGGATTTGATGGAGTCCTTGATGTGCGTAGTTGAGCTCTTAAACCACAGTAACAAAAATGATTAGAAGGCAACGAGATGGAAGAAGCAGAAGACA